ATATTATGGTTAAAGAATCCATTTTTTTAATCAAAATTATCCACTTGTTTTTCAGTTTATTTTCCTTTGGAATTTTCAGTCTTCTTCTGATTTTTACCTGTTAATTGTTATTCAATAAATTGGAAGCATTTTATAGCTGACAGCAACTTAAATTCAGACCAATCTTCTCATACCACCATCTTATGGCTGCTTTTTTGCATTCATGAGACTAAGGAATAAAACCATAAAACCATAACAGACATCATGATGGAACGACATCAGCTGTTGGTCCACAGAGCTCAGACTAGAGTACTTGCTGCAACACCAACTGTCTGCCATCAACTGTCTGCCATCAACTGTCTGCCATGAGGCCTGAGTTTTAGTCCATTCCAGACATCGTTCATTGTTCAAAACTCTTAACAATCCTGAAAGAGTCAGAAAGGAGTTAGAGAAGAGCATAAGAGCAGGATTTAAAGGGAAAAAAGATGGGTTTTGATATTTATGAATCAGTAAAAAACTAAGTCATATGCTTATGGTTTGCACCATAGTGCCTTATGAATAGTATGCTTATGTATGTTACAAGAGTTTCCTCCTTCTTTCAGACTTTCGTCATTATTACACATGCCATCATCTGGCAAGAGATCAGATTTTTAAACAACTGGATCAGATTTTTAAGCCAAAGTGAAACGTTGGCCATTGTCTCTATACGATAAGTACTGAGACAACAGGCAGTGGGTTCCAAAAAGCAAAATGGTGATAAGGAAACATTAAACATTAAAAGTCATTAGATGTTAAAGGACTAGAAATGGAAATGAAGTAGATATTAATTTGTCTTACAATTTTTTTTTCTTTAAAAAGCCCATTGGTACATATTTTACATTTGGTTTTGAGTTTGTTTTCATAAGGCATGTTTCTTCTAAAAAGTATTAGTAAAAAACATTTTTGCAATGAGTTCTGGTAATATTTCCCGTTAACTTTTACCTCCATGTGGATAGATGCCAAAGAGACTCTGACTTGAATATAAAAACATGACACGCTCTGTTGTTGTCATACTCTTGTACTGATTACCTTTACTTCTCTCTTTGATAGTAATAAAGATAAGCAAGAAGTCTCATAAAGTCTCATAAAAAAGTGGTAGTCAGGTAATTTTATCATAGTGCCATATTTAATTTATTGCAGTAAGACTAAGCACCCTGGTGAACAATCAATCAACTGAGAACAGTTTTGTTTTTTTATTCAGAGATCGAAGTCTTAGTGGTTTCCATCTAACTGTAAAAAAAAGTTAAACTGTAACAACAGACTTCTGCAGCTGAAACACTATTTTGGATCTACTTTTGGATCTAATTATCTAATTGGACTGGTTCTTATATAACGGTTTTCTGCTCTACCTGAGCACTCAAGGCACTTTATACAACTTGCCTCATTCACATCATTTCATACAAGCCCATTTTTATGCTTTTTCTACGTGCTTTTTCTAAGTGTTTTCTATCTAACATTCACACACCCATGGAAGCATCAGAGAGCCACTTGGGGTTCAATATCTTGCCCAAGGATATTGAGCATGCAGACTGTAGCAGCCAGGGATTGGAGCTCCAACCTTCCAATGAGACAACTTAATCTACCACAGGGAACAGGCCTGTGAGCTGCCTGGACTTGCTGTCCTCGTGTAAATTAACTGATTTTAAACGGTCACTTCATGTCTCGTCCTGTTTTAGCTTCTTCTTGCAGTTTTCAGAAGTTTGAAAAGAAAGATGAAAGACTGAACACTCTGAATAATGAGTTTGTTACTTCAGAAGTTGTTAGAAAAAAAACACAGCCACACTTAGCCTCATCAAGTCTGCATGATGAAGCAATATTGGGGATTAGTGAGGTAATCCTGAGTTTTTCTGAGGGTTAGAAGTGAGATTCAGTTCTTACTAGGTTACTACAAACATGTAGCAAACTAAGTTCCAGATAACAGATCGGTACATATAAAACCACCGTATACTAACCATCATGTTTTTCCCTTGGACCTTACTTTGTTGTAATAGTGAGAGGGTGTGTTGAGAGAGTGAATTTTTTTCTTTTTTTGAGATTCCCAGATAGAGGTAAATTGAAAATTCATGTACAATACTACTACTGGAAACCTCCATTACGAGGACTAAAATGGACATAGATTTATGCTACTTCAGTTTTGTTGCATTGAATTTGGTAAAGTCACAAATAAAAACTTTATAACTTTTGTTGTTGTTGTTATTATTATTATTATTATGTTATTTACTCTGTTATTTACATAAACAATTAAACAGAATCACAATTTTCAAATCCTTTAAAATCTGTTTTTAAAATCACACTCAGAAATCACACACTAGAAAGCAAAGGGAGATGTAAGGTTTGCTCATTTACCGGATTGAATAATAGCTGTTACTGATCGGATTTGGGGAAATTCCTCCTGAAAGAAAAATGAAATAACCCAGGACGTAAAGGGTTTATTTCATAAAACATAGTCAGCACTTCCTGTGCTATTGACCCTATGACGGCTGAGATTCCTCTCCGTTTTACTGGAATCCAAGCTAATGCCATCCAGACTAAAATATTGCTTTAATCTGGATGGCTAAATGGCTAAAAATATAGTTTTGGGGTCCAAATGCAAAACTCTGCTCATTTGTGATTTTTCTATGTAGATAAATATAATTTGCTTTCATCTGAATAGCTACTGAAGTGTATACAGAGTTTCCTAAAATAGTCCCATGGAAATTATGTTTACCGAGGAACATATCCAGTCCCACAAAACTCTGTGAACTCCATAGGTAGCACATTTCTCTTAATAGCAATAGTTTATTCTAGTTAGTAATCATGTTGTGATCAATCCAATTACATTTCTGGAGAATAGGAAACTGTTTATTGCTTGATGCTAAAAAGTTACATTTAAAGACCTTGGCTAAAAAAAAAAAGGTTTTGATACTGATTATTTAATATTCATCACATTAGGTAAGTTCTGGTTATTGGTTATGATTTCTAGTGTTTAGGTGTTTCTGTGGCTCTTGTCATCCTTGTCTCTATGTTCATGTATTTGATGTTTGACTTTGATAGTCTCGTGTCCTGTGTTCAGTGTTTTGAGTATTGCTTCCCCCTGTCTCATTATGTCTGATTTGCCACAGCTGTGTTCAACTCCTGTTTGCTCCGTCCTCGCGTCCCTCTGTGTGTATTTATAATGTGTGCTTCTCCCTGTTCCTCATCGGACCGTCTGTGTGCCTTCCTCCGTGTTGCCCCTGTGTTTCCTCCATCAGCTTTCCTTGCGTTTCCTGGTACCTTGTCCCTTGCTTCGGGTCTCTATCCTCAGGTTATGTGTTTATGCTTATTTTCCCTGCCCAGGTTTTAGTTAGTTTCCTCAGTTCCTCCTGTTTGTAGTTTTTGTACAGCTGGCAATAAAAGCTTGTTTTTTGTTATCATCCACCCTCATCTCCGTGTGCCTGCATTTGGGCCCTCAATCTCCTCCTGCCATGCCATGTGCCTCACCAGACCTGACATAAATGGCAGGTATCTGAGATATTTCAGAGCATCCTGTTAGTTTCTTTAAAATAACTGGAGGCTTTTGTTTTGGAAATAAAATTAAATTGAGATTTTCCTATACCAGCTTGTACAATTTCAGAAACAAAACTCCCCATTCTTAAAGCATACTGATTTCATAGTTTCATCTCTTGTTTATTGGCCACATTTGTTTGTGTGTGTAGGTAAAAAAGTAAGACAGGAGGCCTTTTGAAATTTAACTGACATTTTACTTTCAACCCTAATTCAAAATAAATTTTGGGACAGTGTGTAAAATTTAAGAAAAAAACAAAATGCAATGATGTGGAACAACAATGACATCAAGAGGAAAGAAAATATGCCAGATGTGCAAACACTATTATACAGAGAATAAAAGGCATAAGACAGCATGTCACCTTAAATCTCACAGCTTATTCAATTTTGCTGTGCAAAAAAAGCCACTGTGATTACTAAAGATGGGAATTAAGAGCTGTTTGTTCACCTTACAGACATATTATCAACTCACAAGAATAGCTAGCATGGTCCTAGTCATCAGCCCAGCCCTTTGCATTAGCCAACACTTTCTGAAACAGGAGGACTTTTCGCTGCAGTTCCAACATGAAGGGAGCGTTCTTTAAAAGCTTTTCAGGTGTGTCTTTATCTTCTTGCTGCAGAATCGTCTGTGCCTTCTCAAACATTTCATCAGTGTAGTGTGATCCTCCATTTGCTGCCACCATGTCATCAATCTTCTTGATCAGCTCAACCACCTGAGTTCTCTTCTTATTCATGTTGTTGAAAACATGGTATCTATTACCACATCGATTCAGCAACTCTTTGAGTTTAGGATGGCTGTTTCTTGTCAAATACTCATGTATGGTTGTTTTCTTGTGAGTCAGGTCATCACCATGAGTAAACAGAATCATCATGTAGTTTGATGCCTCAGGTCCAAAGAGTTCCTCCAGGGCTTGCACACAGTTGTTTTCTTCTTTGGTAAACCGGCCAATCTGAAGGACCAGCAGGAAAACATGAGGGCCTGGAGAGCTCATCTGAATGGATTTTGCAATTTCTTTCTTTATGTCATCTGCACGTTTAGATGTATCCAGAAAGCCAGGGGTATCGACCACATGGATCACTCTCTTGCAGTGTTTAACTCGTTCTCTTGCACAGGTCGCCGTCACCGACTCTGAACTCACTTCAGACTCAAAAAGCTCTTTTCCCACAATCGTGTTGGCAGCAGCACTTTTCCCAACACCCGTTTTCCCAATCATCACAACCCTCAGAGGATCACCTGCAGAAAGAAAAAAATGTTTAGTTAGAAACCCAAATTTAGTTGAAAATCTCATTTAAAGCATCTTTTTTACCTTTAGGGATTGAGTCGCTGTTGCCCATCTCTAGTGCGTTTGGAGAATGAAATTGAAGCAGCACTCCACAGTTTTAGTGTGCACTCCGCCCAGAGGGTGGAGCTAATTCTCAGCCTATATCAGCATGAGTCTGACCTATTTCAAAGCAAGTTGAGAGACGCTGCTGAAACCCACAGCACTCTTCATTAAACATTTGCCAAGATGAATTCTCCTGAGCCTTCTCGTAAGTGACAGTTGTTTAGTTTATTACTTCTTGTCAAAGTTCATCACATTTATGAATCATTTGCTGATGTAATAATGTGATAATGAATTTCGGACCTCGAGATACCCGTATTGGGACCAAGTATCACGTGTTTATTTGAAAATAACATAAAACACAAACAGATTTAACCATTCCTGCATTTTTGCAGTGTTTTAAGAGTAACTTATTTGTTCTGTTTTCCTACAGAATGTCCTGACAAGTTTACCATCGCTCTGTTTGGAGAGAAAGCTGATTTTGTGAGAAAGATTGATAATATAATTCTCAAAGGAACCAACCCTGCAATGACAAATGTGAACAACTTTGTTGAGAGAGAGAATGACTTGTACAGAATCATCAGCACTCCTGATTTTTTTGAAAAATGTCATCAACACGACAAGCTGATTATTGATTTCATGGCACTTTCTGATCCTGGGCCTGATCTGTTCATACTGGCAATCGATGCAGAAAACGACCAAGAAGATAATGTTCGGGCTCAAATACTTAAACTTCAAGATATCTTTGGAGCCAATGTCACACAAAGTTTAGTTATAATCTTAGAAAGCCAAAAGAGCCGTGGTTTACTGGAGAATGTGAAACAAATGTTCTATATCCAGATGGAAATTGTAGATGAAAAATGGTGTTTATGCCGCAAGTCATTCCGGTTTGACTACAAAAGCTGCAGTAAGGATGTTGTGGAACAGCGGAAAAATGATCTGAAACACACAAGGTAAAAACTTCATTTTCTTCCTATCTGTAATATACTGCATTTGAATAACAAGTCTAATTGTATTAACAGTTAGCTTCTGTTTCCTCTAATGAGGGTATCCATCAAAGGTGGAAGAAGTCATGAAATCATTTTTATTTAGTTGAAATGCCATAATGTTAAAATAATAAAATATAGGTTATGTTAAACAAGTCTCATCCATTTCTTGCACTGCTGAGGTTTGGTGGTGTTTCCAGCTTACATAATATAATGACACAATACTATGACACTTCAATCAGATTTTCTGCATTGCATTTAAATTTTGTTCTTTTCATTTAACATTAAAATGGTTCTGGTTAAGGATTAGGCGTTTTATTAGTCCACACTACATGCTCTGAAATGACATGGGGAAGTGTGATTATACGCAAATATATTTTTTATGTTTTGTCATTTGCTTTGTAATTACAATGGTCACAATTACTCTTCCAGAAACACAAAGGTTCTACCTTATAATCCTGGGAGCAAAGGTGAGTTTGTAAATTCAATATATGTTATAAAACTGACTTGTTTTTATTAAATTATAAAGTGAAAGTACACTCACAAAGTAATCAATCAATTCTATTACTGAGTATTGAAAACAGTCATAGTACTAATTTTCTTATTTTTGCAACAGGTATACCGGTATAATGAAAGTTAAATAAAATAGATTTTTTTCAGAGTGAATTAGAAAAAAAAGTATTTGGTTAGATTTCAAAACATTATTTAAATATGTTTCATAATGTGATGCTTTAAAAATTATGCATTATGAATTTTTCCTCAGAAGCCAGGAATCAAACCACATCCATCTCAGAGCAGACTGCCCCACCAGCAGAGGCACCTGGACAAGACAAAGGTATGAAAGGCAAGATGTGAGATCGGGAACTGAGTTAAAGACAGTTTAGTGCTATTTTTGTGGCTTTTCAAGAACCAGTGCTCACTCTGCATAAGACATTTTCAGAGCCGTTTTAATTATATGCGTTCTTGTATGACACTTCTATTGTATTGTAGACCACAATATCAAAGTTTCATTTTTTTTCATATTTATTTTTATTACAAACATTATGTGTATGTTTAGCTAACATTGCCAAATATGTCTGCTTATTAATACCAAGTCAGCTGAGGCCCTCAACATATTGTTGTACTGTGACATAATTTTACCCACTTTTCCTCTGGAGCAACTCATCAAAATACACCAGCTCAGAGCAGACTGCCTCACCTGCCGCATTTTTTCAGCATAAGCTATATCTGTTGCGTCATCTACAACTCCCAATGACAAAACCTTTTCATATTTATATTTTTAGTGAATGTGAGTGCAAATGGTTGTCTCTCTATGTTAGCCCAGAGTCAGGCTGGCGACCTGTCCAGGGTGTCCCCGCCTCTCACCCTATGGTATCCAGGATAGGCCCCAGCTCCTCCACAACCCTGACAAGGATAAGCGGAAGAGAATGGGTGCATGGATGATGGATGGCTGTGTAGTTTAGATTTTTAAAGTATTGAAGATCCTACAAATTGTCCTATGTGAACCATTTAAGTCCAGCTAGTGATCTCTATTTTATTATCTTCTGTTCATGACGACAAAACCTTCTCATATTTATAATTAACTATCAAACATTCTGCAAATGAATACACTGAGGGTACACTGAGGTTTCTGAACATATTGTTGTACTATGACAAAAGTAAGCATTATTCATTTTTCCTCAGGAGCAACTAATCAGAATACACCCAGCTCAGAGCAGCCTACCACACCGGCAGAAAAAGCACGTGTACAAGACAAAGGTATGCTTCAGAAAACCACAATATATTTAACCTCAAAGTAATAGGAAGTGAGACTGACAGTTTGTTCTTTACTTTGGGTAACAGTTTTATTTTTTCACCATAAACTATAACCTAAATTCCAGAAAAGCTGGGAAGTTGTGTAACAGAACATAAGTAACATAATAAATGTTCAAACTGTTTAGTTTTACAATTTTATGCACAAAATTTGCTAATTTCAAATTTGATACTTGCCACAGTTGGGACAGGGGCATTATTACCATGGTGTAGCATCTTCTCTTCTTTTCAAAAGTTTGAAGACGTCTGGGCATCGAGGTTATGAGTTTTGGTGTTGGGTCCCATTTTTGTCTGATATACACTACTGGTCAAACGTTTTAGAACACCCCAATTTTTCCAGTTATTGCAGTTATTAATTTATTGCAATTCAAGTCGTTCAAGGTTACCCAAAACTGAAAAATAATGTACATTTCAGAATTATACAAAAAGGCCTTTTTCAGTGAGCACAAAATGGCAATAACAGTGGAAGAGAGACAGACCATCATAACATTTGAAAATGTAGGTCTTTCCTACAGCAAAATTGCAAATACAGTCAAAGTGTCAGTGAGTACAGTTTCCTCTTCACCATCAAAAGGCTCTCAGAAAGTAGGGCAAACTCTGACAGGAAAAGGTCTGGCAGACCCAAAGCCACAACTCAATTAGAAGACAAGTTTCTGAGAGTTAACAGCTTGTGAGATAGGCAGCTCACAGGACAACAACTTAAAGCACAGTTGAAGTTGTCTGGTCATAGTAACCAAGTCTCAGTTTCAACTATGAAGAGAAGAGCTGCAGGTTTGACAGGACGAGCTGCAGCAAGAAAGCCATTGCTAAGACATCAGAATAAGACAAAGAGGCTTGCCTGGGCAATGAAACACCACCATTGGACCACTGAGGACTGCAACAAGGTAATATGGACTGATGAATAAAAATTTGAAATCTTCGGTTCATCACACAGGATCTTTGTACGCATTTGAATAGGAGAAAGGATGGTTCCACATTGTATGGCATCAACTGTCAAACATGGAAGAGGAAGTGTGATGGTCTGGATCCAGGGTGCCACAGGTGGCGACTTTGATAAGTGAAAGGTTTAGAATACATTTTGTTTATAAATTGATTCCATGATTTCTTTTTTCACAACTCCAATTGTTTATTTGTACTATTATTTCATTTCAGAGTGCAATGAGACATTAAACTGCATAATTTTCAATTTAAAAAAAAAAAAAGAAATTGGGTTGTTCTAACACCTTTGACCCGTAGTGTAGGTTTCAGCTGCTAAAGGGTTTCTGGTCATCTTTATTTTTCATTTAGTGATGCGGCAAATGTTGTCTAGCGTTGAAAGGTCTGAACTGTTGGCAGGCCAATTCCACACTCGGACTCTTCTCCAACGAAGCCATGGTGTTGTAATAGCTGCAGTATGCACTTTTGCATTGCATTGCATTTGTCCTGCTAAAATACACAAGGCTTTCTCTGAAATAGATGTCATCTCGAGGGGAGCATATGTTGCTCTAAAACCTATGTATCTTTTTGCATTCCTAGTTCCTTCCAATACATCCAACCTGCTCATATCATGTGAACTTATGCACCCCCACAACATCAGAGTTGCTGACTTTTGAACTCAGTGCTAATAACATACTGGAAGGTCTCCCTCCTCTTTAGCCCAGAGGACATGCTGGTGATTACCAACAAGCATGTCAAATGGACTCGTCTAACCAAAGCAAACTTTGAAACAGTCCATTTCAAATGACTCTGGACCCACAGGACATGCAATGCTTCCGGACTATGTTTGAATATGGCTTCCTTTTTGCGTGATAGAGCTTAAGTTGGCATGTGTAGATGGCAGGGTGGATTTTGTTAACTGACAGTGGTTTCTGGAAGTATTCCTGGGCCCATTTAGTAATGTCAGTGACACATATGCCGATGAGTGATGTAGTCAAAGGAGCTTGCAAAGAAATGATGTGATGTAGTGTTGTTTTAGGGCGCGAAGACCACAGGCATTCAATAGTCTCTGGCCTTGTCCCTTAGAGAAATCCAGTTTCTCTAAATCTTTTGATTATATTATGTACTGCATGAGAGTGAGACTTGCAAAGCCTTTCCAATTTGATGTTGAGGAGCATTGTTTTTGAAGTATCCACAATCTTTACAAGCACTATTTGACAGACTGGAGCCTCTGCCCTAAGACTTCCCTTATAACTAATCATATTATATGTTACCTGATATCAGTTAAGTTAATTACTTGCTAGGTATTCTCCCAGTTTAATCTATTTGAACTTCAGAACTGAAGAAGGATGAGAGGTGAAACGTCCTCAAGAAACTTGAAATCCAGACGCTTTTCTGTCCAAGCTCCTTAGACCTTTTTGAACTTCCTTGACTTGTCAGCCATTTTTTGCCCCATGCCAGCATTTTTGGGAGATGTAGCAGGCTTCTGAAATGACCTCATTTGTTGGATAAGGTTGTACAATTTCTCAGTTTAAACCTTTATGTTATTTATGTTCTGTTGTGAATAGAGATGGGCCGTAATGCATTAAAAGTAACACATTACTGTAATACGATTACTTTTTTAATGAGTAAATTAAAGGATTACTATTTCAAAAAAGAAATTAAGACCTGAACTCTTCCACAGCATGCATTTTTAATTTCTCTTTGATATTTGGCCATATTGGGGCCCGATGAATGTAAAAACAAAGAATTACCAGAATTTTTTTTACCTGATTTTTGTTTCTAAGAAAAATGAGATCCACATATCAGGATATTCATTTAAAATGTCGATATAACAGTAGCTGTATAATGTCCTCGTAAGTGGATATCAGGTCCTTGTAGAGCAAAATTGAGTATTTTGGTCTAAATAACCCAAAATGTGATGTCCACATATGTGGACGCCAGGTCCTAGGAGGTTAAAATACTCTTACTTTTCCGTAAGCATGCTGCGTTACTAAACCGTGATTTTGTTTGTGAGAGTGTTTCATGACAATGATGTACGAACGTGCAACGTCCGTGGCAGCAATAGACATGTGTAGATCAACAATGGATGATACGGAGTGCGGGAGAGAGTACGACCATGCAGCGTTTAAGCTTGGAAGTACTGACATTACTTTGAGTTTAATTTCGTAAAAAGGGACATTAACATCCGCTGTACACTCTGCATGGGAAGAAAACTTCTTTCTGCAGCAAAAAATGAAACTTCAAATCTGAGCAAGTACCGGGCACGCTGCCACGGGAATGTGAAATTCACAGAGAAACTCCGGATCCCCCACTGACATAACCACTGCAACCCCAGGCAAACCTCCACCCGCCCCACTCCTGCTAAACAGGTGAAAATAGATTTAATGAATCTTTGATTTTATTTATTTACTGCTGTGTTTTACTTGCATCTATTTGAAAGAGTGAGTATAAACACAAAACACTGTTTTTATTTTATATGCTGGAATATGCAGCAAATATAGGTTTAAATGTTAAACAAATTCTTCAAGTCAAAGACTGTTGCCTATAATTTCAGTTTTTCTTGATGCATAAAGTTAAAAGATTAAAACTAATAAAACAAGTTTGAAAAAGGGACTTTTTTCATCATACTGGTTCGTGTAATTTGAAAGAATCTTAGTTTTCATTTTGTTCAAATTTAAAGAGGTTCTGGAATTTGGGTTGCATATCTGTTGTGTTATATACAATTCCCAATGACAAAACCTTTTCATACTTGTGTTTTTTAGTAAATGTGTAGTCCAGATTTGTAAGTATTGAGGAACGTACAATTATCCTATATAAGCCGCTTAAGGACAGCTACTCATCTCTATTTTTTATGATGTAGAAACCTTCTGATATTTATAATTAACTTACATGGCCAAACATATCTGTTTATGAATAACAGGTACGCGGAGGTTTCTGAACATATTGTTGTAATAAGACAAAAGTATGCATTATCCACTGTTCTTCAGGAGTCAGTACTCAAAGTACATCCAGTTCAGAACAGACTGTCCCAACTGCAGAAGAAGCAGCTGTACAAGAGAAGGGTATGCTTCAGAAATCCACAAAACATTTTATCTCAAAATGACAGAAAATGAGTCAATTTAAATATCTGTACATGACTAACACGTTTATGACCAATGTAAACAAATTCCAGACAATTTAATGCTTTTGTTACATTTTTAACACTTACTGTGTAAGCCATTTAAATGTTTTTAATTATATGTATAAAATATCTCTTTATTTTATTTATAAAATGACTGTGTGAAAACCTTATGTGCATGTGTAGCTAATGTTACCAAACCTGCTTAGAAATAACAAATGTGCTGAGATTCTGAACATATTGTACTGTGATAGAAGTATGTATTATCCACTTTTTCCTCAGGAGCAAATAATGAAAATACACCCAGCTCAGAGCAGACTACCAAACCAGCAGAAAAGGCACTTGTGCAAGAAAAGGGTATGCTTAAAACAAAAACAATATATTTAATCTCAAAATAATAGGAAGTGAGTAGTTTGCTCTTTATTTTGTATAACACTACTATTTTTTCACCATAAACTGTATCTGTTGTGTTATCTATAATTCTCAGTGACAAAAAAATCTCATATTGATGTTTGTTAGTAAATGTGTAGTTGAGATGTTTTAAGTTTTGAAGATCCTACAGCCAACCTATGTTAAGCCATTTAAGTCCAGCTAGTCGTCTTTATTTTATTATCTATAGTTCATGATGTTCTCATACTTTTTAAATAACTTACATTACCAAACATGTCTGTTTGTGAATAACGAGTATGTTGAGGTTTCTGAACATAATGTTGCAATAAGATAAAAGTATCTTCTTTTCTTCAGGAGTCAGTAATCAAAGTACATCCAGCTCAGAACAGACTGTCCTACCTGCAGAAGAAGCAACCGTACAAGAAAAGGGTATGCCTCAGAAATCCACGAAACATATCATCTCAAAATGAAAGAAACAAGAGACCATTTGAATAATATTTGCACAACATGACTAAAAACCATTTTAATTACATTTAAATTGAATAATAATAAATTGAGTAATTTAATACTTTTATAAGACATTTTATGTCTTTTTGAGAACTTGTGAGCACCCTGTGTAAACAAGTGCAATTTTTTCATCATATGTGATATGTTTAGACAAGATAAACTTGCTTTCATGATAAAATACCAATCAATCAGGAGCCAGGAATCACAGTACATCCATCTCAGAGCAGACTGACCCGCCAAGAGGAAAAGGACCTGGAAGAAACAAGGGTGTGCTTCAGAAAACTACATCTAATTCTGAAAGTGAGATCATATAAACTGATATTTGATGTATATTGTTTTAGAAAATACAGTTTAAAAAAATCTAATTTTAAAGTGGTCATAAGTAAGACAACTTAAACATAACAAAGCTTGGAGATCTAAATTTTCTGCATTTTATTTAAAGCTGACATATTGGCACCCAGAGGTTGAAAACCAACACTATTGGAAACTATTGATGAAATAATCTAGCATTTACTTTCAGCTGAGAGGGGCAGTGATGCAAAGGAAGACATCATATTTAACATCATTCTGCTGGGACAAACTGGGACTGGGAAGAGTGCGACTGCAAACACCATCCTGGCTGCTGGGAAGCACCACAAGGACAAAGGCCAGGGTTTTGAAGCCAAGCCAAGCTCCATACCAATCACCACCAAGTGTAAGGACAAAATAATCGAGATATGTGGAACAAAAGTTAGACTGGTCGACACCCCAGACTTCTTTTATGAAGATAAACCTATAGAGGAGGCACAAGTAGAGGAGTGTAAGAGGTACTGTCAGGAAGGTCAGTGTGTAGTGTTACTTGTGATACAGTTGGGCAGGTTCACAGATGGTGAAATAGGAATATTAGAGAAACTGGAAGACAAGCTTGGCTGGAAAATCAGGAAAAACACAATTGTCCTATTTACACATGGAGATGATTTGAAAGGCACAGTGGATCAGTTTATCGGCAACAGGAGTTGTCTCAAGCACATTGTGAAATCTTGTAACAATCGTTACCATGTATTCAATAACAACTCCAAGGATACTAAACAAGTCAGGGAGCTCTTTGATAAATTTCGTGAAGAAAGCTTTTTAAACTCAAAACCACATTCACAGTGCCCTTTATTCTAGCTACTGCTGATTCAGGGGTGTGAAGTGTAATTTTCTGATGGCATGTGAACTAATTTTACATTAAACCTAGATATCATGATTTGCCATTTTGTTTCATCTTGAATATTTAGCCAAACTGAAAGGACATTAGTAAACAATGTATAATTTTTCATCAGACTGCCAAAGTTGGTGATACAACCTCTAGCTCTTATGTATGTATATGAAATAGTGCAGTCAGTTATAAAGACTAACTTTAAAAGACTTAGAAACATGCTGAGGAGAGCTTGCTGTGAAATTAAAGTGGTTCCTAAGCAACATACAGATTAAATGTTTATGAATAAATTGAATACATTTTTGATTTTATTTACCTATTTTTTTTCTGTGACTGATGTTTGGACAACACAAAAGACTTCAAACTGGAAATGCAGTGAAAAATAAATTATACAACACACTCACATAGCCTTAACACATGTTAAAGCTATAATATGCTTCTACTTATTCCATTACTGGCTCATTAGTGTGTTCTCGAGTTTTTGCTGAAATGCGCATTGGGGAAGTGAAAACAAACTGAAAGAATAGAAGCTTCAAACTTCTATTTTCCACTGTATCATCATATGAAAAGTTGCAGCTTTTTATGTTTGTAGCCTGATAATTCAAATTTCATTAGATCTGACTGTTATCCCTTCCATATCACATCTACCTCAGTGCTTTTTCTCTAGCTCAGTGAATTCCTCTCTAGTCCCTAAATGGATCTTTCAGGCCAAAGCCGCCTTCTAAAAATGCATGGGCATCTGGTATTCTAATGATAGCTTGTTTTACTAAACAATAAATGTACCAATAGCATACAGAATAAATAGGCTAAACACAAATAAAAGTTATTATTCAGAGGACAAAGGTGACACGTGGCCGTTTGTAATTTGCAGGTGTTTGTCAATTTAAACATACATTCAGTTTCTCCTCTGAATGTGCAATGAATGTAGTATTGTAGAAAAAAAGTCATCAATATATACATTATCATTTGGCATTAATTTTCTCGCTGTTCTTTTTTTTTCTTGTTTCTGTGCAATAAACTGCCACTGCTACCTGTACTCTTGCTCATGAACACATTCATTTATGATAACATTACTACTACCATCAGTGAAAAGGTGCTGTTAACCGTACTGCTTTATTTTGCAATGGACATGTAACTGTGTATGAATATTTTGCTAAAACTGTCAGAAGGAGTGCCTGAACTAGAAAAAAGAATGTTTGCAAAAGTTAATCAAACATCACATCATCAGCTAGCTATAAAATAATAGACCATTATTAGCCAACACTTTAAAGTCTTTGTTATATTTGTCAGAAAGCAATGGTTGAAATTATGTTTTTTTACCTAATAAAAAATGTTGCATAAACAGCTGATGAAACCAAATCGATCCTGATATTATGCATAGCAAGAAAATAGAATATGCTTCTAAGTTAGTAAACCATCTGTCTGGATTAGTCTCAGCCAACTGGAATGTTCACTGTACAATTTCTTAGGTGTTTGCCATTTCTTTCAACATCTCTTTCAACACAGTAGGTTAGTTTGACAATTTCAGAAACATATGTGGTAAAGATAGTGTTGCTCAATGGCCGCGCCAAGTCATAGAGAGCAGATACTGCTTCCTGCTAATACTGAAATAACAACAATAGGCAGTGGCTCTGAGTTACTGATGAAAGTGCATCTCAGAAACAGTTTACTGATAATGAGGAAGCTTCAATAGGCCACAGACTTAATTTTGTGGGAACACCTGGATATTAGGTATAAATATAATTTGTCTAAAAGTAATTTTAGGTAAAAAATTATTTCTTAAACAAACATAATCATAACTTTACTATTACTTAATAATGAATGCATAACTTACCCTTTTATATAAACTACAAGGCTAAGTACAAACAATAGTCAGCTTTAAAAAAACAAACACCATTTGTTAAGAGAACAAGGGCGACACCTGGTGGTGATGGGTCTGAGTGAAGTACATACAGTATCTCACAAAAGTGAGTACAAGTACACCCCTCACATTTTTGTTATATCTTTTCATAGCAAAACATTGAAAATATGACACTTTGATACAATGTAAAGTAGTCATTAACCTTGTATAACACTGTACAAAACTGAGTACACCCCTAAGTGAAAATGGCTAATTGTGCCCAATTAGCCATTTTCACTTCTGGTGTCATGTGAAGTCTAACACGGCACATAGTGGCAAATAATTCTCTGAGGATCTGAAAAAAGGATTGTTACTCTACATAAAGATGACCTAGGCTATGAGAATATTGCCAAAACTCTGAAACTGAGCTGCAGCACAGTGGCCAAAACCATGCAGTTTAACAGGACAGGTTCCACTCAGAACAAACCTCACCATGGTCGACCAAAGAAGTTGAGTGCACATGCTCAGTGTCATACCCAGAGGTTGTCTTTTGTAAGATAGGTGTATGAGTGCTGCCAGCATTACTGCCGCGGTTGAAGGAGGGTCAGCCTGTCAGCGCTCAGACCATATGCCGCACACTGCATCACATGGCTGTCGTCCATGAAGGAAGTGTCTTCTAAAGATAATGCACAAGAAAGCCTGCAAACAGTTTGCTGAAGACAAGCAGACTAAGAACATGGATTAGCTGTGGCCTGATGAGACCAAGATAAACTGATTTGGTTCAGATGGTGTCAGGGTGTGTGGTGGCAAACAGGTGAGGAGTACAAAGACAAGTGTGTCTTGCCTACAGTCAAGCATGGTGGTGGGATGTCATTGTTTGGGGCTGCATGAGTAATGTTGGCACTGAGGATCTACAGTTAGTTGAGGGAACCATGAATGCCAACATGTAATGTGACATGTACTGAAGCAGAGTATTCTTCCTTCCCTTATTCCCTTCATTCAGAAACTGGGCCACAGGACAGTATTTCACTTCTCTGTACAAGTAACTTACCAGATGCAGCTGATTTGTTTTTCATATATGGTTTAATTTGTTAAGGTTTGTTTGTTTTTAAGTGGGCATGTGCCCCTGCCTTGCTCCCACCAATATCAACTGTGTCTGAAATCACTCACTCCTCACTTAACAGAACATGAGTGGTGGGCAATTAATTTTCCCAAGGGGTCCCATGAGAAACTGGGATTGTTGGGACCAATATGCTGCACTCAGTTCCGCTCGGTATTAATTTTAAATCTTTATAAACTGCTACTGGTAATAGTAGATGTTACAATTAGAAATTGTAAAATTAAATTAATGTGATTTACATGTAATTACATAATAGATGTCTTTGAGATCATTCAGTTATTCACTGCTCCCCAGAAAGTGGAATTTCTGATAAAACCCAAAATGAAATTTTACAATACAAATAACATTTACTGATATATCCATGAGTAAATGGTTAGGTTATTTCTCATTAACGCAAATATCTAGTCAGCCACTCGGGATCGGGGGAGATTGGTGATTTAAGACACTTTAAATGTGGCATGGTTTTTCATAACAGAGGTCAGGGTAGAATGCCCAAACTTTTGGAGCTGACCGTAACGAAACAACAACTTGTTACAACTGAAGTATCCTCAAGAGCATCTCTGAATGCACAATATGTCCAACGTTGAAGCAGATGGGTTACAGCAGCAGAAGACCAGATTGGGTGCCACTCCTGACAGCTAAGAACAGGAAACTGCTACAATTCACACAGGCTCACAAAAATTTGACAATAGAGGTTTGGAAAAATGTTGCCTGGCCTGATGAATCGCAATTTTTGGTGGAACGTTTGGATGTCAGGGTCATAGTTTGGTGTAAATGCATGAAATCATGGATCTATTCATTTTACATATCAGTATTTGAAATAATCACAGAACTGTTACAGTACTTACTACGGAGCGTGTGCTCAGGAAATCCGGAATCTGTTGTTACCACAAACTGCCACACGAGGGCGCTCAAGTAGAAAACAGATGATTTACAAAGCATTTTTACAAAGTGATTTACACAAGACAAACAAATATGGAAGCCCGTTTCCACCACACAAAAAAATGTAAAGTTTTGAGTTAATAAGTCGAAATTTCGAGAAAAGTAACTCAAAATTTCAAGTTACCTCTGCCAATCAGTAATCTACATGGAAAGCACACTCAAAACTGGATCGCAACAAATTGGCGCTTTCGAGAGTACGTTTGGTGATATTAACGCCATGTGATTCAGCTAATAACACAAGGATTTCATCAGTTGTGAAGCCACACTGAAAATAATCAGCGATTTCTGCATTCATGACTGGCTGTAATACTGGTAGCTTAGCTGTAGCATTTGTAGCTGAGGGCTTCAGCTTCCGGGTAACAATCAAATGATGAACTCGAAATTTCGAATTAATAACTCAAAATTTTGAGAAAAGTCAGTCAAAGTTTTGAGTTATTAACGTGAAATTTCAAGAAAAGTAAGTCGAAATTTTGAGAAAATAACTAGAAATTTTAAGTTATTTTAAAAAAATATATATTTTTTAAAAAGCATCCATGACTCAAAATTTCGAGTTTTGGATGCTTTTTTTTTTGTGGCAGAAACGGGCTTCCATACCTCCATACTAGCAGATCATGAAAATCATATGAAAGATTAAAACAGCAGAAGTAACATTTATCATCATTTTAAAAGGAGATTTAAAAAATGACTAAAATAAGAGGGGGAAACTGGGAAAGCTTTAAAAGAGTTGATATCTGTGTGAAGCTTTATCTGAACTGCTTCACTGCAACTGTTAAATCAACCACCAGAAGGCGACGGGAAGCCTGTCGCTTGATGCCGCGTCATCGTTCAGTCTCAATTCAAAGATTATTCACGATAGAAGACGGATCACTCCGATCATTTATTTAATTATTTTTCAACTTTCTCTTTATAGATTTTGTCGTTTTAAAACTGTAATTGCAGTAAGTTATTTCCTATAAATATTTAGAAGTTAATGTGTGACCCAAATGTTGAACACATCTGCATTTTTCTGTGGGAAACAGTCTTGGAATATCTGAGTAACTAGAATAAAGAAAGTGATCTTTATCACAAGTAAGTGGGGAATTTTCAGTCATCATGGCCGGCGTCAACAGAGGCAGCCAAACACTAAATCTATGTGAGTGGAACATAATTAACTACAGAAACAAGAGCAATGCACCAGTAATATCACACTGATTAAGAGCCTGTAGTGTGCACTACTCTAGAAAAGAAATTCACAGCATGTGACAATAAACTTCTTCTTCTTTTTTTTTCCTGATCCATCAAACCTTTCACCAGAATGTTCCCTGAATAGTCTTGTCAATGCCACCATGCTTTTGATGAGATGTTAAGGCAAAATTACATGTATTGTTTATTTATTTGTGCTAAATCTGACTGCAAAGTAGGCTATAATTTGGTTAGGCCAGCCACTGTAGATCTGAAACATTTTATGATATGCTGCACCTCAGGGGCTGAAAAAAATATCTTGTATCCTGCAGTTTTATCAGTTATAAAAACAATAAAAAGGGATTCCATGTGAAATAAAGATACACATCATCCACACAAGAGCGTCAACAAATTCATCTTTGGATATTTGTTTCACAAATAATAATTTCACTGTAATTTCACTCAGTATTTTCACCTGGAAATCCATGACGTACCAGCAGCAGTTGACAGTCCCAGAACCATTAAACTATGAGGTTTATGAAGATGACAAAGTGTTGTAGCTACTTAACAAAAAAAGGGAAGAAAAAAACAGTATTTCATATATTTGTGCATTTTAATTTAGAGAACTGGAACATTAAAGGCTGGAACCGAAAAATAAAACCAATAAAAAACAAAAAATAAAAACTTAAATGAACTAATCAAAGAAATGAAGGAGGCTTCATCTTTCTACCAAACGATCTTCGATTGTCATCCTTCCGCTCCGGCTCGTTTTGATGTCGTCAGCAGTAAGCGACGGGACAGCAGGCAGGCAGACGGCAGAGATGGCTGCTCCCGGGGAGCGGAGCGGTGGCGGACGGAGCACCGGCTGTCCGCGGGCGGTGAAGTCGTGGTGGCGCCTCGCGGTGCTTCTCCTCTCCGTGTCCTCCCTGCCGGCGGTCTCGGCGTTGGTGGAGGGTCTGTACTGTGGGAAGGAGGTGTGCTACGACGTGCTCGGTGTCACTCGGGAGACCTCCAAGTCGGATATCGCCCGGGCTTACCGTCAACTGGCCCGGCGGTACCACCCGGACCGGTTCAGGCCGGGGGAGCCGGGCTTGGAGGGGGAGACCCAGGAATCTGCACACACCAAGTTCCTGCTCATCGCGACCGCGTACGAGACGTTAAAGGTTCGTCCGAGAGTGTGGGAAGTTTGAAAGCTTTACAGTGTTTTTTTGTTTTGTTTTTAAATTTCCTCATAAAAGTTTCATTTGTTTTAATATCCACCCGGAAACTATTTGTGCCACCATGTCTACTTGATCCAATCTTGTATTACCTCAAACTGTGCTGCAGGTTTAATTCTTCACTGCTCTGATAGTCCTAAAATAGACATGAAGTCAGCTTGTGCTTCCGATCCTGTAATATATCCTCTGATATTTGACCATCTTAATAGCGCTCCACTATTTTTAAGTTATTTTTATTTCCATATTTGTAACCTTGAACTTTTCTAGAGTAACCTTGCATGATTCATACTCCAAAAACTGGGCCTTTGTGCTGGTCAGTTCATCCTGTAAGCAAAGAGCTGTCTCTTTAAGGCCATTTGTCCAAAAAGCTAACTTTCCTCTGATTGGCCAGCTTCCAGAAGTCTGCAGAGGGGTAGAGACGTGTGCTTTAGAGTTGGGATATATTCAAACCTATAAGCAGAAGTTTCCCTTTTAAACCCATTACAAAAACATGTTTAAACAAAATAAATCTTTAAAACATGACAGGTTTTAAAGTAATAACGTGGTAAAAAGCTTCAGACAGTTGGGCAACGAGCACAAACAAATTAAATGCATGCATGCAAGCACTGATATTTTCTGATAACAGATTTTATCAAAACTGGGGCTTACAGAGGTCGTCTTTGAGTATTCTGAGTGTCAGACTCTGTATTTCTTGTATTCTGGTGAATTTTTGTGCAGCAGTTTGTACAGATTTATGCATCCATGTACAAATTTATGAAAAATATATTTCTTTAGGTAAAGGAAAACACAAAAATTAGACACCACTTGTCAAATTAAAGAAAAAAAATAAGTATAATGCAGGCATTCTGTCATTTTCACGTCAATGAGTCACATGAACATGAATATTGTTTACTTTTCTCATTAAATATTATCAGAGCTGACACATGCATAAACATGATGTATTTCATAGCTGATTTACACCCATGTTCAAAACTTTAAAAGTTGCCGCACATACGTGTATTTTTAGGACTCATGTTCATCTTGACTTTGTTATTAATAAGTTGTGAGCTGAAAGGCCTGACATTTCATCATCCGGCTGTTCATTTTATTGGTAGTTACTATAGAGATAAAGTACTTAATCTTAAATTCAACACCTTTGTCATTTACATTCAACCAGAGTCTAGAGTTACAGGTAAAGTTTAATAATCACAATCAATTGCATAAAGTTCAGTAAAAAAAAAAGAAGAAAAAAATAGAATAAAATAAAATGTGTTGAACAGTTTAAAATTATTTCTGTAGTTGACCTCAGTGTTGCTTTTAACGAAAAATGTAATTCTTTAAGAACTAATCATTTGTTCCATGTTATACTCTATCCACTGGCGTATGCTCTATTGCCAAAAGTCCCGCATCCAATTCATTGAATTCAAGTGTTTCAGTTGTTGCCATGTCAGTGGATGTTGAGGCGGACAGTTCAGAGAGATCAACAACTTACTGTAGCATCAAACGCTGCAGACCTTCAAACTTCATGTGGTCTTCAGATTAACTCATGAACAGTGTGTAGAGAACTTCATGGAATAGGTTTCCATGGCTGAGCAGCCTCATCCAAGCCTAACATCACCCAGCATGATGCAAACCATGGGATGCAAGTGAAAGGGACCCTCAATGCTTCAGCGCTGACTTCGCACCAGTGCATAAAGCAAGGTTGATGTGGAAGAACTTGACTGCCCCTCGCAGAGTCCAGACCTCCACCTGACAAAACACTTTTGTGATGAATTAGTTGATTGTTACAGTAAATTTTTCAGTGCAGGAGAACTGGCTGATAAAGAGTTAGAAGGACGGATACTGTAGCTTTATTTTATTTGAAAGAAACACATTTAGTGTCCAGTGATCTGTCAGATTATAAAATTATAAAAGCAATTTCTGCCAGTTAATGTGCTCTAATATATGCTTTATATTGACTGACAGAAAAAATGAAATGCAGCATGAGAGGAGTAGGATGAGTGGAAACCAGTATTTGACTAAGAGCTTGTTAGCTCTCCTAAGACAGAAAACCAGTATTTTCCTCACTCCGGATTAACAAACTCAGTTCTCATAGGTGTTTTAATTCTTGGAGGAATTAAAACCTGGTGATCTTTGTGTGTGCAGGATGAGGACACGCGGCGGGACTACGACTACATGCTGGACCACCCTGAGGAGTACTACCAGCACTACTATGCCTACTACCGCCGACGGCTCGCTCCCAAAGTGGACGTCCGGGTCGTCGTCCTGGTCACCATTTGTGCCATCTCCATCTTCCAGGTAAGACCGCATACTGAGTAAGCCATGGTTTGCTGAACATCATCTGACTGATTTACAAACCTGTTCCCATCTCTCTGCAGTACTACAGCTGGCACAGCAGCTACAACGAGGCCATCAACTACCTGATGACCGTTCCCAAGTACCGCATCCAGGCCACGGAGATCGCCAAGCAGCAAGGCCTCCTCAACCGCACCAAGGAAAAAGGCAAGAACCGACGCTCCAAGGAGGAGATCCGGGAGCAGGAGGAAGAGGTGATCCGCGACATCATCAAAAACAAGATAGACATCAAAGGGGGTTACCAGAAGCCCAACCTGTCGGACATCCTACTGTGTCAGATCGTGCTCTTCCCGTACTACCTGACCTACTACGTGGCGTGGTACGTGTCCTGGGTGTACCGCTTCACCATCTGCAGAGAGGAGTATGGAGATGAGGAGAAGCTCTACATCATCAGGTCAGCTCAGGCTTAAGTGACAATATGAATGCCGGGATGAATGACATGAAACATGTTTAGAAGTTTCTCACCTTGCTTTATCCTCAGGAGGTACATGAAGCTGTCCCAGACTCAGTTTGACCGCCTGGAGGAAAGCACCAAGCGGACCTTCCTGGACAAACAGCTCTGGATCAAAGAAAACTTCGAGGTTGGTCGCAGTCAATTCTTTCTTTTGCTTCTTCCCTCCTACAGCCTCCTCCTTGGATATTCCTGGTACGTTTTTAGTGTCTTTGTCCTTACTTACTTCATGAATAAAAGCTAATCCAGCTCCATCCTTTAAAGGCAGCTGGTGTTAGTTTGACCACAGGTCTTTCAGGTGTTGCACAGACTTGCAGCTGGTGATGATGGACCTTGTCCTTTTCTGCAGCCTCAGTAAACTCTGCATAGCAGGGCCAGGTTCAGACTACAGTCAGCAGCTGCAGTCTAAGACAGTGGTGCTCTACATCCAAACTGTGAGATGAAAGATTTGAAACAGTTTAATGATATCAGGGAATCACCTGACAGAAAGGAATGGAACTAGCCAGACTGGACTTTCAAAGTAAAGGCCATTGCATACCGGTGATTGGGCAGATTATTCAGATCGTTGCAAATTCATCCAATAAAATTATGATGTCTGTGTGAGTGTCTTTTACGTGTCTGATGTGTAAATACCTTAAGAGTGTGGCAGCTTTCCAGAAGTCAGTCATGTTGTTGTCGTGTAGTCAGCATCTTTCAGCAGTTACTCCTGACCAGTCAGAAACAAACCTACCTGTAGCTCCTGCTTCGAGCTTCACCTCGTTTGCCCGTGCAGAATTCTTAGACCCAATAGCTGTGATGGGAAGAGCTTTGGTACAGCCTTATGGTTTCAGATACTGCGTCCTCTGTCAATATATTAGCCCTTCGAGGATCCTAGTGGGACATTTTGTGCCATTCCGTTTTTTATTTTTATCCTATTTTCGCTGTGCTGAATTAATTTAGCGAATATTTGTTCAGTTCCATACATTATCTTAAAATGTCTTTGTCTTTCAGGTGTACAGAAAAGAGCAGGAGGAGGAGATGAAGGTGAAGATGGCAACCGACACGAGGATGAAGCGGTACCGCCGCTGGATGAAGAACGAGGGGCCGGGCCGGCTCACCTTCATCGACGACTGAGCGGCACAGAAAGCATCCTCGATGACAGACACGCCTGCCTCGGTGCCAACACACACACAGAGGGTCGCCGCGCTGTGTGAGAAACGTACCTGTACAGAAAGATTATATAGCAGAGATATTTTCATAGCATTCGGACCTCTGACAGGACGACGGAGGGAATGAACTGTGAGCTGAAGCTTGAGATTTTCAGTAATTTTTTTATATCATGGCTATTTTTAATTATGTTTTTGTTTTCCAAACTAAGTAGAGGGAAGTTTAATAATGATTCAGTAATTTTTTTTATTAGTATTTTTGGTTTTCTCCTGCTGGTAAAAACACATTGAGTGACTTTTGGAGCCTGAGGTGTTATTAAGTGATTTTCTGTTGGATGAATAACCAGGCGGCTGCTGGTTATTATACCAAAGTGTCCTTTGGTAAGACAGCGACGGTTAGAAACATCAATCAGAAGCTGTTTGAGCGCATAAGAAACAGCTTCAGTACGTTATTTCTTCCAGGGCTTTTCTGTCTCTGATGTGCTGCTGAAGCTTTTTTTATCTGAAGAAAATGAGACGTGGTGTTTTGGTATACATTTGTGTAAATGGAAACCAAAGTCACAGCTGCGGTTTCACAACAGCTGATCTTTGTCACTCGCTGACTCTTTTTATCATCATCGCTCTCCTCAGAAGTTCAGGTGGCTGCTTACTGTTTACTGCATTTCAGAGGTTGATTTTACTGTGTTATTTATTGTTTCCACGTTTTGTTTTTTTCAGTGGCAAAGCGAAATTAAAGTCACTCTGAAATTAACCTGCCCTGTGGTTTTTGGTGTATGAACACAAGTTTTCTGAGAGCTAATCAAACACTGCAAGGAGAATGCATAAAATTGTCATGCTATATTCAGATACATCTCTACTCTGTTTGACTCATCATGAGTTAAAGAGTGTCTGGTTATTTTAAGTAATTTGTGGTTAATGAAGTTGCTTCATTAACCACAAATTCAGTTCAAGTCATGCTGGCTTGCTTTCTTTTTCAAACTTTAACGGAAACACTTGTTTCCTCTTTCACATGTCAGAGGGGTGGAGCTTTAAACCCTCAAGCCTGAAGTAAAGCAGCTGCTGTTTAATAGAAGTACCAGAACTGCAGTTCCTCTAATGTCCACTGGAGGCTGGCTCCAAAAGTGAGTGAGTCCACAGTTAAAACAAACATGTTTATAACCTGATACTAAAAAAAACTGTTCTGAAATTAATTTCTGCCTTGAAAACAACAGCATGATTGGTTGGATATGTAGTACTAATTAGCACTGCCACCGCATACCAAGGACGAGTCCTGATTCAAACCTCAGCTACTTGTTAACCCAGATATAATTATCAGTCAATGTCAGGCATTTGGTCATGGTGAAGACAAGGTGCTGAAGTTCAAATCGAGCATCAGAGTGATGAAGAGAGGTGATTTACCTGACTTGCATCTTTGTTGGTGTCACACAGGCTGTCTGAATATATCAGAAGCTGCTGACCTGCTGGGATTTTCCCCCAAAAACATCTCCAAGGTTTACAGAGAACGGTCAGAAAAACAGAAAATATCGAGCGGTTAAAAATGTCTTCTTGATACCAGAAACCAGAAGATAATGGCAACTCAAACAACCACTCATTACAACCATGGTATGCAGAAGAGCATCTCTGGACTACAGCAGCTGAAGACCACACTGGGTGCCACTCCTGTCACCAAAGAACAGGAAACTTTGGCATAAAAAACTTAAACATGGATCCATTCTGCCTTGTATCAACAGTTAAGGCTGGTGTTAGTGCTGTGATGGTGATGTTTTCTTGGTACACTTTGGGCCCATTAGTACAGACTGAGCATTATCTAAACACCACAGCCTGCTTGAGTGTTATTACTGACCAGATCTATCCCTTAATGATCCCAGTTACTGGATTCTGGAATATGACATATAGCTCTGTGTACTCAAGTAGAGCACCTTTGGGTGGAAAAGGAGATTCACACCATGGCTGTTTAGCAGTCATGTGACACCATCATGTCAATATGGACAAATTTCTGAGGAAGGTTTCCAGCACTTTGCTGAATCTGCCATGAAGAATTAAGACAATTCTGGAGGCAAGTGGGCTTCGATCCAGTACTTGCAAGGTGTACTATAAGTTTATGGTGAGCATATAAATTAATATTTTAATATCCTTCACAGACCTCCATATAATGCGAAAACTAAAACAACCAGTTAAAGCTTTAAAACAAAAAACTAAACTGATCTAAAATCAGAAACTGAGAAGAAAACTATAACATCTCTTGTGACTTACCAAGCTTCACGAACCATTCTGTGTTCAATCTGAAGAGCTAGACTATTTGATGTTTCAGAGTGAAAAATATAAAATAAAATCATTTAAAAATATATGAAATGGCGATGTGGCTCTCTGGGTAAACAGTGCTCTGCTTTTGTTTGAACTATAATTAAATCACACGGGAGCATGTGAGCACTACAACTTCATTGCTCAGTCTGAGCTCTAAATCACCGGAAAATGAACGATGGTAGAAAGAAGACGACGCACACCGTGTCAGGTTTTCCATTAACAATAAAAATTATTAACATACATTTTTTTAAACATACAAAAACAAACAATACAAGGCAAAAGGATGATAGAAGGCCCATGTCATTTCAACATTAACCACAATAATCTGGTATCATAATAAGAGCAAAAATGAACCAACATAACCTGGCTGGGAGTCGAGTCTTAGCAACGACGCGTTATTTAGTTAACTGATTAAAATAGTGCCAGCTGAGATGATCACAATCATACTTCTTTTTCAATGAAAAACAAAACAGATACACAAGTGCAGAGACTTACAGACCTCACAGAGGGTCTGTCTTCTTTTTTCTTTTTTTAAAGAACGGTTATAATAATAATAAGAGCTTTAATCTGCCTTTGCAACTAACTACATTACAGGAAGTACACACACTGAAGGCTTCACAAAGAAAAACTGTTCTGTACATCGATTCAGCCAAAGCATCCAAGCACATTTCCACCGTCACAAACAGCCTGAACAGTGCAATCAAGTCAGCTGGCTGCCCTCGTGTTTGGAGTTCACTGGCTTTGACAGCAGCCTGTAGGAGATCCCAGTTTATCCCACAAATGTAGACGAATGACAAAACACTGACTCAGAACAGACTCAAGTATTTTAAAAAGAACCTATTATGTTGTTTTGTTTTGTTTTTTTTCCCCATCACAGGTGTACACCTACAATTCAGCACCAAACTGCACAGACTATCAGACGCACAGACGCTCACGGAGCAGCTGGCAGAAGGTCAAATCCTGAGAAACCACCTCAGGATTTGACTCTGGAGTGACTCAGTCTGATTTTGGGAGGTTTTCGTGTGTGTGTGTGTGTGTGTGTGTGTGTGTGTGTGTGTGTGTGTGTGTGTGTGGGAAGTGACTCTCTCCCAATTAGTGGGCAGTTGCCATGGCAACAGAAACATGAACGCCAACAGCAGTAGTAAATAAACTGCAAACCGTTACAGTCAGCCTGGATTGTTTAAGATAATATCATATGTGCATTTGTGATGCAATAAAAATGCTATTTTTAAATACTGATTATGATCATTATCAGTTCAGTAGTGTTATATTGTGGCACTTATCAAAACCATTATTGTTTATAAATCTGAGGCAAAAGTTTAAACTTCAGACTGCTTTAAACTCAGTTTTTTTTTCTACTCTTGGCTCTGCATGAAGTCAGAGAGAGTGGATATCCCTAATATGGTCATCTGACAACAGAAGCTCCAACCACCTGTATAGGGAGAGTGGCAATTCAGAACAAAAGGGGAGGAGCTAAAACTGTTTGTTTCAGATAAGCAGAGTTGATTATTATTATGCTTTATTTTAAGCTTTCAATTATTTTATTGAATCTGTATGTTATGGAATTAGCTTATGAGTTTCATAATTTCTTACTATGCTATTGTTGCTCAGTTTTTCTTTTCCCATGCTAAAATTCACAGCCTGTACAGAGGTTTGGCAAGAACCAGCACATCCTCGTGGAGGGAAATCTGCAGTATAAATGATGTTTGCTTGCTTTTTAGGGATTATTTTATAATTTTGAATCACACAAAGTGACTCCAGTAGCAATAAACAGAATAGGTTCCCTTTAACTTAAGTTCAAATAAGTACAATAAACAGTAGTTTTTAGAAAACCTTCAGTCTGGAGTAAATCCAAATAAAATAAAAAGTACATCTGTGACAAAACAAATTCAAACCTTCACTGGCTGTTAATCTCTTTATATACTAAACACGACCAACTGTGTCCTCTCTTACTGCATACATGCTGTGAAGCAGACCGGATCACCTCGTGAGCACCCACAGAAGCTCTTTCCAAGACGTCCAGGAGAAGATCCGATCTGCCCACGAAGAGTCTGTGATCTTTTGGTTTGTGTGTAAATACAAACTGGGATATTTTCAGTTATAATGTTATCAAGCCAAACATGGAAGTGAACCGGATTTAGGCTCCCAGCGCTCTTGACAGAAGTTTCAGGTCTCACCAATGGTTTCAAGGTTGGAAACATGACTGTAGCGCTACAGCAAATCTGTCTGTCCTTGTGCGTTCTAGTGACTTCAAAAGTCCAACACACAATACAAAGTGTCCAGGAAGCATTCTTCATGCCTCCATCCTTTCAGGTTTAAGGAGCATTAAGTCAGGCTTTCTGCTCTCAAAGTCTGTTTTTCCATGAATAGTGACACAGCCAGGTGTTTGCCTGCTATCCATGACAAGTTTTTTTTTTTTTGTTGTTGTTTTTTGTTGTTTTTTTTAAACAAACTCCAAAAGGACAGAAAGGGCTTTGGCCATGGTTCAGTTTCGTTTTCTCGGCCCCATTTTTCCTTTTTTTTTTGACGACTTAGAAAAGACAACACGAGAGTAAATCCAAAGGCTTTAGTGAAATCACGAGAAAAAACAGAAAACAAAAAGCAATCATCTTTAACATCAAACAACTTCACGACAAGAAGGGGGGATTTTGGCAAAGACGAAAGCAAAAAAAGAACAAAAACAAAAAACTTTTTTTCTTTTCTTTTTTTTAAAGTCACAGTTTGGAATTGCTGGAGATTTTTTTTAAACATGGGGTCTGTGTGAGTAGCACACAATGTGATGAAAATAAGCTTGGTTTTCTCTGTACAAGAGCCAAACAAAAAATGTAGTTTTTCCTTCATCCAATCAGATGGGCCACAAATTGGCGTTTAGGATATTTCCAAAGGTCATTTTGATGTTTTCAACAGTTCCTTTTTCAGAGAGATGTCACCAAACCACCCGGCTTGGATGAAGTTTGGGCCAACAGTTTCCAGGGCTTTACAAAGTCCAGCTTTGACATTAAACTGTCAAAATGGAACCAGTTTGTTTCACTTCCTGTCTTGTGAAGTTCTGTTGTATGGAAGCCCATTTGTACCAAGAAAAAAATGACCATTTAAATACAACAAAAACTAACCAACAATAAAAGCCTTGCTTAGTCAGACTTATGAAACATGACCCTGTTTTAAAGTCAAAGATTTTATCTCACTGAGCAAGGATTGTATATCATTAGTTTAAATATTAGCTAGCAAGTCAAAGTATTATTTAATCTGATCTTAAAATGAAATACTGTTTACTTAGTTCAACATCAACATAATAAGTGAATACTTTTTGGCTTTGTTTGTAAAAGTTTGTAATATTAAATAAAACTGATGTCGGAAATGAATCTAAAAAAATAGTCAAGATTCTGATTTTTTTTTTTCCTATCATTTTCTTTGAACAACTAAACTAACTAACTAAACTTGTAAAATTGTGAAAATGATTGGATGTTTGTGGACGTATTTGCTGAATTAACCCCTGGGAACAACCAGCATTTCTGGCTGTCATGTTCTAAATCACTGTCAGACAATCCTCACTTGCTTTGCTCTGTTTACCTTCGTTACTGGCCAACAGAGCCTGAACTACAAATTCTGCATATTCACACAGAAATGCGAATGTATGAATTCATGATTCAGTGACGCGTATACCAAACGGCGCATCTAGCTACCCTTCAAAACTATCTGATTATTCGGATTTAGGGCGTCATAATTTTTACTTAGAAATATTGTAATACTGCCTTTAGCATGAGTATTTTTTAATCATGGCAGAAATGAGCTTCCATACATGGTAATGCTAGGCAGATGGAGAAGTTATCGTCAACACTGAGATGTGGCGTCTGAGTCCAAACACCAACTCCTCCTTCATCGTGACTAGAAATGTTCCAGTCCAAGAATCCTTCTTCTGCTTTATCATCTTCATCATAATCATCATCTTCATCTTCTAGTCTGTTTGATTTGTTGATTTCTAGTCAAGTCCCTTCCAACAACCGGCTTCAGGCTACATTTCTTCACTGGGAGTCTGCTTGTTTTTCTGTGGCCAGGTGAGCTTCAGTAGAAAACATGACACAGAAATCTTTCCAGAAGAATCTCTAAATGCTCAAGCAAAAAAAGAGATGACTACTATTGATCTATTCACAAGATCGCTGTTTAGTACAAAAAAAAAAAAAAAAAAGGAAGCCTCGTCTTGAATCTAATCCATGTTGTATTATTTTCTAATCTAAAATTGATCTTTTACATAACTTTCTTTTTTTCCAGAAATGTAATACAGGGCTTCAAAAGCTTTTAGACCTATTAAAAGGTAACTTTTTCCTATTATTTTAAGGGTTTAAAGAAGGCGTTTTTTTCCATTTTAAACCTTCCTGCAGAGAAACAAGTTGACTCGCAAAAACAGCCTTTGTTCTAATTTCCCGCTGTGAAAAATCTTCTTTTCAGTCTTTATTTTCATCTTTGATGGTCCGAAGAACAAGTCCGGGTTAAATGCTTCAGATGTCTTGACGTGTGCTGCATTTTCTTTCCATCTCACTGGGTTTGGGTGGGCTTCAGGAAATCCACAGAGTCTTACGAAGTTTTGACCAGGTCATACACATAAATGAGGAAGTCATCATCAAACTTGATGAAGTAGACGGACGGCTTGGCCTCTACCTGGTGGATGACCATGCCTGTTCGTTTGCCGCCGTCCTCTTTGGCGTACTCGACCTGTTTACCCACCAGACTGTCCACCACCTCGCCTGGCTCCCTCTCTGTTGGGACGCTGTCATCTGCAGGAGAAAGTGAGACAGGTGCTAAAACAGATGTGTTTGTTTGTTTTCTTAAATAGGTAAAAATGTTACAGATTCACCAACATGTTTGCATTTTAAGGTTTTAGCCCATTTTGCAATGTTGAGGTTGCACCCATAACTCACAGTTTATCGTTTTTAAATCGGTCCTAACACTGAGACAGAAAGTACTGTTCCGCTTTAAAGACCTACAAACTCCCGCTAATAGGGGTGGACATGAAGTCTATTTGGACATTTATTTTTGCACTTAGTTTTACTTTTTCTCCATCTGCTGTATAGTTTCATTTCTATGGGCTTTTTATTCTCACTTACTCTTTGGGTCAGGTTTAGGCCGGGCTCTATGGAAGGCCTGATAGTGACTCATTATGTTCCTTTGTGTGTTTCTCTATCCATGTGCCAATCCTTTTACTGCATTGGCAGTGTATTTGGGATCATTGCTTTTCAGATGGTATTGCATGGTGATTCAAAATCTAATGGTATTTGTCTGGATTCATGATTCCATAATGTCCAGTTACACACCGTGACAGAGGCTCCACCATGCTTTACATGGCTCACTGTTGTACCTCTCCCAACCTCCTCTGTACACACTGACAATAAGTTGAACCAAAATATTTCAAATTTAGATTCATCACTCCGCCAGAGTTGTTGCAACTGATTTTCAGTTCAGTTGTTGTGTAATGTGTCTCCCCGTTTCCCTTCAGTAAGAATGGCTTCTTGACAGCCATCCTTCCACTTAAATCAATTCTGATGAGGCTTCAGTAAACAATAGATGAAACACCTGAAGCTCCAGATATATCTCTAACATCATGTGTCAGGTCTTTGCTGGATTTTATTCCTCAAGGACATGATGTTCAGTTACTGTTTATCTTGTGTCTAGTCTTTTTCAGATATTTGAAGAAGTTTCCAATGTCAAAAGAAAACCTGAAAGATTTCCAAAAAGCCTCATGATGAAGAACTACTGCTGAAAACCGCTTTTTCAAAAATCAAAAGAAAGTCTGCCTCCTTAAAAGCCATGTAGTTAAAAATAATAAATAAATAAATTAGGGTTGAAGCAAGACTTCTGCACAGTACTGTGCTTGGTTAGGTTACTGTTAGGGGTAAATCTGACTCTTTACACAAGTAATCCTTCAAGATTACTTTACAAAAATTAGTTGTACGCAAGCAGCTTTGATAAAAGTGCATTTTTTCTACAGTCCATGAATAAGAACAGCATGAATGGGGATGGACAATTTCTCCCAAAAGCCAATTGCTGCCCAACAACTGCAGCTAACCAATGTATATATAATGCATGGAGGTGAGACTGTGCAGCACAACTTTTAGACGAAATTAAAAGCAGAAATATTAGAAAATATAAAATAGTTCATTTAGAATACGATCCTTACCACATAGAAAGCACATCAACTTTCATTTTGTTTAAACAGAAAATGGCCTTTAATGTGGACAACATATGCAAATATGATCCAAATGCTCGGCAGAGTCTCTTTAAAAATTAATTTCACTCACTAGAGTCGGGCATGATGCGCAGGTCTCCTTCTTTGTAGTCGTCCAGCAGCTGGTACATGTACAGGACAGGGTCTTTCTCGTAGGTGATGTAGAACCAGCTGGTCATGATGGGAGCCCGGGCCAGCACCATACCCCTCCACTCCTCCTTCGGACCCTCCTCCGTCTCAAACATGTGCTCCACCGCTTTACCTATCATGGCGTCGGCCAGGTTGACGTCTGTCAGACGGGACTTAGCTGATGGGGTCAAAATGAAATCACGACTCATGTTACTTGTTTACATGTCTGCTGTGTCCTTTAGACGAAGAAGAAAAATAAAAGGGTTTAAATTATGTTCAGCCTTACCAAGTCTGTCAGGGAGCACTTCCAGTCCCTGAACCCTCTCATCTTTATGAAGCTCCAAACCATAAACACAGTCAAATCCATCATACTTTATCAGATAGAGAGACGGGTTCACAGGCACCTGTGGGACACAAATACCCAATTTTTGTGCTTGTGTCCACACAACCTCATAAATTAATGCAACAGTAACATCATAATAATATTTAATAATATGACAGCAACAGAAAAATTAAGGCCAAGTGCCTAAAACTGCAGTTTTTAAAATAGTTTACTAATTAATTATGTAAGTTAGGAAATGCTTTACCACTCTGTTGAGCTTTACCTTAAGTCAGGTATAGGCAACTCCAGGCCTCAAGGGTCCATGTCCTGCAGGTTTTAGATGTGCCCTTAATGCAACACAGCTGATTCAAAGGGCTAAATTAGCTCCTCAGCATGTCTTGAAGTTCTCCAGAGGCCTGGTAATGAACTAATCATTTGATTCAGGTGTGTTGACCCAGGGTGAGATCTAAAACCTGCAGGACACTGGCCCTTGAGGCCTGGATTTGCCCACCCCTGTCTTAAGTAATTCAAGTCACTGAAATACACCTCTCTATAGGGTGTGTAGTTTCTGTCTCGCAGTTACCTCAGAAGTAAGTAGCAACAATAAATAACAAACAGACCACCCATTAGTGTGCTCTAGTGCTGGTGAGTGAAATCCAAGTATTTCATTTGCAGGCATCTCTCTGTGCAATGCTAACCAAGCAAGCCAGCATTAGCTCCAGTTAAGGTCAATTCTGGCTATCAAAAAAAATAACATGGCAGCTGCCAAAACGTTAACACTGAAGCTTCAAAAGTGGTGGTATCAGAGTGGTCACATTGTTCTTTTATATCTTTAACACAGAAGAAAGTGAGCTCAGGTGTATACAGACAGAATGGAGTGACATATGATTGGACAGTTTATAGAAACCTTTGGTTACCTGGTCGAGTACAGTTCCTTTCCAGATCACATGTCCTCCTCCTTCCTTCCAGACGTGTTGGATCCGGCAGCCAACGATGTTGCGTCGAGGCTGCGACAGGACTTTGGTGGGCGGGCCGAGGCTGCTCTTATGCTTCCTTTATGCAAAACAATACAATCAATGCTCCCTGCCCTTAAAAAGTTGCACACGAGAGCAAATATTCAGGCCGGATAAAAATAAATGAGCCGCAGCACGTCTTTACTCACTTGTGCGGGTTCTTTTTCTTCATCATATTGGCAGAAACACCTGCATGCCCTGAGGAGAAACACACGATACAGATCATTTACCAAACGGCAGCTTCCTGCTCATATAAAATGGTGATGGTTTTATGTGTTCCAGCCTATTTACTCCAAGTCCTGGATATTTCCTGTTACTGCTCGCCTTTATTAGAGACATTTGAATTAAGGTGGAAAAACGCCCAGGCACTGACTCACATACTGCTGCATCACTTTGTAACAAACAGCACGTCTTCTGATGTAGACTCGGGAAGCCACAGTTATTACCAGCTCTGAGCATTCATCAACCTCCTCTGAAAGAAAACTGGTGTTTCTGCTCTAATGCTTTTAAAACTGGACAAAAAAACAACAACAACAAAATCGCATTCGATTAGAACTGAACCATCCAAAGACTGCATTTATAGCCAGAAGAGGGCAAACCAACAAAACAAAAGGCATATCTATCTGTAGGGCTGTTCGATATAACGATATATATCAGATGACGATCTAAAAACACTATCGTTTCATTTTACGCTATCGTTTGTTTCGTGGTGTCACAAAATAAACTGTTTACGGCAATATTTTTTTCACCGTTTTGATGGTCACTGTAGTGGCTATAATAATTTCTTAAAGTTCTCTCTTTCTCTTATATTTTATATAACCACACTACGGACGGACAAGCACCTGTTTTTATGCGTTGTCGTTAGCAACAACAACGGTAGCACCATCGCGTGTCCGCTTGTTTATGTTCCACATAAACCTTTCACAATAAAGCTCAAGATCCTGTTGAGACTTTTCAAAAGAAACTGAATCACGTGAAAGAGCAGATTATTTACGGATGAGAAGTAAAAAAGAGCCGCCAGGTGCTAAAAAATAAACCTTAGACTCAAACGTTAGAACAGGCTTTTCCCCGCAGCACGCCGTGTAATAAATACTCACAAAGAAAACGGCGGCCGTTACAACTTATGTCTAAAAATTTATCGTTTCATGCGTCGGTTAAAACACTCGACTCCAGCTACATGACGTGCAGCTGGAAACACTTCCCGCAAGTCGAGCTGCCCGAGATTCACAGAATTTACAGAAAATGTTACATTTTTGTGACGATAGATGTCTTAATATCGGGATAGGAGATTTTGGTCATATCGCACAGCCCTATCTGTAAAGGTGTATTTTTTTATTTTGTTTTTGAAAACTGAGATTTTCTGTTTTCGTTTTTTTTTTTCCCTCCATATCTCCATTCACATGTAAACACTAAAAACAAAATGTTGGCCAATCAGAAGTCTAGAAGCCTGGGAGGGAAAGAGTAAACAGGGTTTTGTACCCTCACAAAACCTTAAGTACTAACGAAAAGTTTTTGTTTTTCTGGAAAGGCAGCTAATTAGGTGTTACTTTTCAAGTGCCTTCATCATTTCAAATATTAATAACTAAAGACAGTATTTTGAGTGTTGTGTGGACTCACAACTTAGGAAAGAGCAAAATGCATACAGCATACATAGATTGTATTATTTTATTCAAAACCAGTCCGAAGTTCACTCTGACGCCTCTGTCTTTCTAACTAGAGGGGCAGTAACTGCGTGTGTGTATGTAAGCGTGTGAAACTGCAGATAGTAAGATTAACAGCAACAGTATTTTGTTTATGTCTGCCATTGAAGAAATTCATCTCATGTAAACAATTACGCGCACGCTGTGACGTGAAAAACGGTGCACACCTTTGACATTGTGTGACTGAATCTCCGTATTCCTCGTCCACACGTAAACGCAAAAACAGTTTTTGAAAATCTCCAGCCTGGCAGGAGTTTTTAAAAAATTCTGTTTTCAGTGACCCAAAATGGCATTTACGTATAGAAAAGTCTGCGTTTTCAAAAATACCCGTGTACGTGTGGACGTAGCCTAAAGAAGAAAATGTGATGATCACTCATGTTCAGCTGATAGCGCTCCACCTTTGTTCCCTAATTTAAGTAGGCTAGATTCCTAAACTGCTTTTACATGGTAAAGTCTTTGCTAACCCTTCAACACTGCTGTTTCAAACTGTGATATGATGTCACATCAAAGCTTGCCACCGGGTCGTTTCTTCACAGATTCTTTCTAGATACTTCGCCTTCCTCCCACAATCCAAAATTATGCATCTTATATCACTGAGCGAATCTAGACTGGCCATTGCAGTGGATTTGACAGTGTGTGGTTGTCAACATCTCTCTGTTAGCACTGTGACTGGCAGCTTACTACTCTGCCGTCTGCCCTGTGTAAGTTTTGACCCCCCCCTCAACCTCAAGACGGATAAATAGTTAAGAAACTGGAAAGACGGATGAAGTTTATAATTCATTTAAAATATTCACCTGCTCTAATTTGAGTCTCATATACAGTCCAAACTGAATATTTAGGCTCAGCCTGTGTTCTTCAGTGGCTACATTAGCCTTTAATTTGTGAACGCTGAGACATTTAAACACAGTGACCAAAGCTTAGGGCTTCAAAAGTAAACACTTGGTTATGTTGGACTCTCTCTTTGCAGCAAGTTTCAAGGAGATTTTAAATGAATGAACCCTCTGAGATCCAAACACGCCTAACCCAAAGAGGCGTGTTATAGTTTCTGTGAGTCTCTAAGTTTCATGAACTTCATCATTTCACAGTGAGTTCACCGTCATGCACTTCTGCATGACGGTGAACTCACTGCATGACTGTCAATTTCTTTGTGGCTGTGTGGCCCACAGAGACTTTGTACCACAGTGCAGCAGCAATGCATGCACCACTCAGGCTGACTTCATTAAAAGTACAACAGGAATTTCTACTCATCACTGCTGCTTGCAGTTGTCAGTATCTCTAAGTCACCACTACAACCATCTTTGGATTTGAATGACAGGTCTTACGAGGTATGATTAAGACTGGTCAACTATCTGTATTCCTTTCTAACACACTGGACTTGACTGGAAATGCAACAGAAAACAAACACTATTTCTGTGCAGCAGTGTGTGTCGGGGCAGTGAGGGCGTCCTGACCTGTATCAGCTGTGTCTCTGTGTCCCGGAGTGTTCTTCATTCATCTGGAGGCAGGGGGGCAGCCAGGCTGCCCGGCCACACCGCTACAGCTCAAACCTGCCAAGGACAAAAAAGGAAAAAAATTTAAAACAAAAAAACAAAAAACACAGAGGAGTTATTATCTGTGACTTTACTGACATCTAGTGGTGGAAAATGTTTGTACATGATCAACAAAACATGATGTCAGAGCCTTTCTGTTTTGGGAATTTTCCATTCAAACAGGTCCAACACAAGTAGAGCTTGGTGGGGCACAAAGACCAGATGCAGGGGGGGAACTCAACAACTCTGACCCCATTTAACTGCTTAAACATTTTAATACTAAATATAATACTCCTTGATCAGGCTGTGCCAACTACTATTGCCTGTATAATACATGCACATATCTTTACATACATAGAACATGTTGGTATCAAATATTATGTGCACTGGGAGGAAGAGGTGAAGTGACATTTTTATACTGAACTTTTTCCTTCAGCTCAAATCACTATACACTTCATCCAATCACACACCCACTCGCACACAGCCTCAGTCTTTTCTTCCTTCCTTAAGCTCTTTATCCATATATGGTGCACACACTTACACCTAGAGGCTCGGCACCTTGATACCGTGACTGTTTTCATTTGTATTGTTCACGGAAGACAAAATGGTTAATAAGCACACAATTATGCAACCAGATCCCAGACGTAAGAATCAGAAAGATGATGGGACACAACTAAAGTATTCTTACATGTGAAGCTGAGGATGAGGGTGGTCCAAATCTATGAAATAACATCCCACTTTCTACTAAATAGAAACTTCAAATCACCAATATGATTGGTGACAAGCTTTATTAAATTGGGGTTTCATTTCCTTAGGATTAAGAGAGATTTTTCTGTCAAATGTCAGAAATGACAAAAAAAAAACACTAATTTCTGTTACCGTATTTCCCGGACTACAGAGCGCACCTGAATATTAGCCGCACAAGCTAAAATCAGGGGAAAATCCTGTTTTGTACATACATTAGCCGCACCTGACTAAAAGCCGCAGGTGTTTCAATGTTGACTTATCATATGTAAGAGAATATGCACAAAGGGAATTGTCATGAAAGAGATGGCTGTTTGGAGACACATCACTTTTATTAATATTTTGAAAAACAAGTTATGGGTACATATTTGCATAACTTTTTAGGTATATGTACAAGTAGCGGTAATTACAAGTGCGAAACATGTACTGTGCTTCATAAATGAGTAACAAATGTAGTACATAACAATAACCTGCAGCACACCAGAAAAATAGATTCGGACTACCTTTTAGGCTCAGGTGCAGTGACACGGCTTTAACAAGAAGAAAAGTCAGTCATTCACCACCATCTTCCTCTTCTTCCTGCACACTGAAACCACCAAAGTCCTCTCCTCCAGTGTCAGATATGAACAGGCTCAGGATGGCTTCGTCATCCACTCTCAGCTTCTTTCATTTCTTGTCACTTACAAAACCAAAGAAATCCTCGTTGTCAGTGTCAGAGTCGAACACCCTCTGAAGGGCCGTGGCGGTGTCCTCTCCATCATGCAGCAGTCCAGCCCTTCGAAATCCGTTGGTGATCGTGGATGTTTTCACACTTTTCCACGCTGTCAGAATCCACCGGTGGAGTTGAGCATAACTTGCTTTTCGCAAGTTTATCGCCGCTCGTCATCCACGACTCCCGCTGAACGCGTAGCGTTAATTTGAAGTTTGTTTTTCACGCTACTTGAACGGCACTATGTTGCGTGGCGGATGGACACGTGACCAACATACCACTCTTGAACCCAGATACTGTGTGTCTGATCACATGCCCTTCCGCCAGGCAACGTAGTGCCGTACAACAGCGGAACAAACAAAACAAATCGTCTTACGATATGTCGAAAATCATGGACAATCCATAGAAAAGCCGCACCTGACTAAAAGCCGCAGGGTTCAAAGCTTGTGCAAAAAGTAGCGGCTTATAGCCCGACAATTACGGTATATACTGTAAGATTAACTTGTTGTCTTTGCTGGATGTCAGCCAGTTTTACAGTCCTGTGAAAAACTAAATTCACCCTAAGTGCTTGCATAGGAATTAGGAGGGTAAGTAGCATCAAGGTGTTGTTAATCAAAAACAGAATGGTCCAAAACTGGATATTTTGTGAGTTTTCTGGTCTGGAGCACTCAAGTGTGCACAGGAACAAATCAACAATAAAATGGCCGAAAAAGAATCGAGGTGATGCAATGGCCCAGTTAAAGTCCAGACCTCAACCTGACTGAAATGCTGTGGTGGGACCTTCAGAGAGCTGTGAAACAACAAATGCCTGCAAACATCAATAAACTGAAGCAACATCATAAGAAGTGTGGGTCAAAATTCCTCCACAAGAACATGAGGGACTGATAGTCAAACATTACTTCAGGTTACTCCTGCTAAAGGTGAGTCTACAAGCCTCTGAATCACAGGACGCACTTGGTTTTTCACAGAGCTGCAGAGAGTCCTGTGGAAACTTTCTTTCACACACGACTGAATGTGCATCATCAATCCACAAAGACCCAACAAAAAATTAGTGTTATAATTATCATCACATAATGGCTTTAAAATTACACCAATTTTATCTAAAAGTAGAGACAAACTGAGGCGGTTAATGAGGCTGCGCAGTGGTTACCCGGTCTGCAGTATTCAGCACAGTTGATGAGCGGTTCAGCAGGTCGCTTTCTAGGACCTGGAGCTCGTTTTCCTCAACCCTCTTCAGCAAAACCAGATTCAAACCTGTGACAGAAATCATTTCATTAAACAATTATTCAGCACCGATGGCTTTCTTGCATTAACTCAGAAAATAACCCTAAATGTTTTTGATGTTACAGTAAATGACATGTGTCATAATGAAGTTCCATGCTGTGATCACATCACAATAACATCTTCATATTTAAATTCTCTCTCTGTTAAGGTCTGACAGATCGACCAGTAAATTGACGGCGTTGCCTTCGGGCTCGGCTCTTAGTTTACCACAACAGACCCAACAACATCTGCATGACTGCAGAATATCGCGAATAAAAACAAATAACAAAGTAGAAAAACCTTAAAAAGTGAAATCTAGACAAAATATGGAAGATTACATTCAGGCAAAAGCATCGGGACACACCCAAGAGCCAGAGCTGACCCACGAACAATCTCAATACCGCCTTCAAAGAAAAATAAACAGCCACAAAACCCTAAAATATTAAATAAAAAGAAGCATGTCAATGGATCTTGACTTACATGATTATAGTAAGTCGGCACTTCAAACTAATTTTCTGTGATAAACTGTGACAATTTTACTTAAACACGTAATTAAAATCCACCAGTGAAAGCTTTGTAAATTTGGTAGTTACTAGAAGTCTTCCATTTGACAGCCATCTTCAAAGCACACTTGTTCCCTCAGATTTTATTGATTTATAGCAAATTCCAGGTGAGGGACAGGATATTCAGAACAGGTTTAAGGGACAGAGAGATGAATCTGCCATCCAAACTGAGCATCGGCCCTGAACTCTGATCGCAGGTTGCAATATTTATCAGACCCTCTTAACTTTGTTTTATTCATCAGACGGGAGCTTGAACCAACACACAAACTCGGTTTCTGCCAGAACAACCAGTCGGTGGATAAGCGCCTTGCTCACAGACATGCCTAAATTAGACACGGCACGCCGCCTGACTGTCAAACACTTGAAGATGACGAAAGATCGTGAAATCTGTAGTCAATATCCTGATCTGAAAATTGACAACACAAGTGCTCATTTATCCACCATCAGGCGGGAACTGGTCAAATCAGTAATTAGAATTAAGACCTACCTCTATACATGCACTACAAAAGCTTTTCCTTGAATATTACATATTTTTTCCTAACTGGCAACAGGCCACGCTGCACCTTGTATCTCACGTTGGAAAAGAGAGAGCAGGTTTCATGTCCTGAACATGAGACTTCAATTATTAATCAGTGGAGCCTGGGAGGAAGGCCTGCAGTGTATTATTTAACTGTATGCGGGTTGTTACGCATCACATCTGACCCCCTAACTGCTCACTGTCTGCTGTGCTCAAGACTTCAAACCTACACCTTCAAGACTTGCCCCGACTGAACTCCACTGCCATCTTCCCAACAACGTGGGAAATCTCTGTACGTCTGTCCATCCCTCGCTTCTTCATCGATCTTGACAACAATTTTTCAAATCTACTTCAGGCCTGGTGGTTGAGCTGCAAAATAACTGGTTGTGACTAGAGCTGGGCGATATGAGATTTTTTCATAACACGATATGTTTTTTTCATTTCAGGCGATAACGATATCTATCACGATATAAGCCAAATAACTATATTTGTAAGATTTAAATGTGCC